CGCTCTCCTCATTTGGCTGGGAGCCGCCACCTGTCACACCAGAGCCGCTACCACTATGTGGAAGAGCCGATACCCGCCGCCTCAGCGCCGCTAACCAGCGCCGCTACCCAAAGGAAATCGGCAAAACACACTATCACTTCCGCCTGCCGCCGCTACCAGCCGCCACCCCGACTGTTTCTAAGACAAATGCTCGCCAACGCGGGCACCGTTCGAGCCGCACAGTAGTGCATTTGAAGGGGGTAGACGAGCTCTATCGAACGCCGTATAGCTCGTGGTATTAAGTGTACTTTTCGCAGAGATACTGTCTGTATAAAAAGTGGCAGAGCCGCCTCCCGCCGATTTCGCGCCGCAACCCAGCGAGCGGCGAATTCTTTTTGGCCCCATTGAGATGGGGGTGCTGGAGAAGCTGGCGCCATGGGGCGGGATTATGAAGGCGCGGACGGCAAAGGAATGGCGCAAGGCGGAAAAGAATGTCGGCTGCAGTGTGTACACCAAGCACTGTGGGCAGTAGTTACAATCAATGTGCAGTATAGATATACAATCAATTTGAGTGTGCCATACAATCAAACTGATTGTTAAAAAACAATCTATTTGATTTCAACCTTGCAAGGAATTCAAGCAAATAGAGTGGTTCTAATGCATCTTGATTTAACTAACAATCTATTTGCATTCTTTTTACACTCAATATGCATAGTGCTACACTCATATTGCATTGCATACAATCATATAGCACATTTTATAAATCCATTTGATTGTTTCAAAAAACATGTATTTTCTACGATACGACACAGTATACTACGAATCCAAACACCCACCAGTTCATCCTCCAGGGTCCCGCATACCCCAGTCGGGCTCCCAGTCAGGCTCTCCCCGCTGTTCCTATAAGATGTAAGCGGGGCACACAAGCAGAGGACAACCCACGACATCGGAGGTCGAGGGATTCCAACGGTGACCATCGACTGGGAAAGCTGACCGTAAGGGAGTGAAACAGCACAATATTGCAGAGCACGCACTGTGATTGCTCGATTCCCCCGCGGCCCGATACCCGATCCGAGCCCGAGCTTTGCGCGACTATGGTCTCGTTTTTGACATCGGAGGCATCAGTGGTGATGAATTGGGCGGCCGATGCCTTAGCGTGAGTGTCAGTTAACACGATCAAGAGGATGAGCCCCAGTACCGCTCGGGATAGCGACCTTGAGCCGCAGCAACAGCGGGACACGGTCGACGTCGGAGTAGAAGTACACCCGATCGCAGCTGCGCAGACCGCCAGCGTGCGATGTGGCGTAGTAGAGTGTGGTGACCTCCGCGAGCTGGTGAAAAGAGTAGCACCCCGCGCCTTTGCAGAGCTCGGAGATGTTGGCGAGGGACGGGGTGGAGTCGAGGATGGTAAGGAGGAGGGGAAGAAGGAGCATGTGCCCCACAATGGTTCTGCGCGCCGATGGACATACCAGCCACGAAACGGCGAAAGATGGTCAAAGGCCGCCCGGAACTGGCCCGATGTGTCGGTGGAGCCCATACGTGGTCAGACCGTGTCTAAATAGGTGGGGAGACGCACCGACTTCGTCTGAAGCAGATAGAGGATCCCCAAAGGCACTTCCGTCACCAAGCGAGACCTACTGGGCGAAGGTTTGCGAAATTTGCTGAGTAGGCAGTGGTGTCCATGATGTGTCGCCAGTTTGAACCCATGCTGAAGCTTGAGAGCAGTCAGAGAGCATCTGAATCGCTGCAGACGACGCACCAGAATGGGCTTGAGCCGCTCTATGGCGCTGGACGTGACTGGCGATAGGCAACCGCTCCGACTAACCCCCACCTTCTCTCTCCTGCCCAGGCAAGACCAACGGAACAACGGACCGAGGGATTCGTCCCAGAGGCTGGCATATGGACTAGGTAGCCGCCGAAGTTGTTGCAGAGGTGTTTCGTGTCATGACAGGGCAGTGGGAGACGAGTGGTGGAGGAGGAAAAAGGGATTACGCGTCCCGTCACGCGTGACGGGACGCGCGAAAACTGGCTTGGTGAAGCACTATTTACACAGTACAGACTGGATTGAGTATAAAATGAAGCAGGACCCATCTAACCTGACCCATTCTTTTTCTTCTTCTTTCCCAGATCCTTCGACTTCGTCCTTCCGCGATTCCCGTATCCATGTGATGGTCCTGCGACGACTCCTTGATTTGACGCCTGCCGTCCCTGCGTCTGTCTCTTCTTTGGCATGGGCCTGTTTACCGGCTAGATGGGTTATTGTCAGTCCTCTGTGCGGAAAGCCAAAAGAAAACTCACCGGAGGGAAATCCTCAACACCCAGTTTCCGAACAACGAGGTCAGCCTTCTGGGTCTTGACTTTCTTGGCCTTGGGCTTCTATTCTGTAGTCAGCAAACTTGGCGGTCGCACAAGCGAAGACTCGCCTCGGTCGCTTCCGGCTCATGCTTTCGTTTTGTCGTTCGCGATTGTTTCTCCACAATGATGTCAGTATGTACTCAGCGGGGAATCGATAGCTTGGTGCTTACCGTAGGTTTTACTGGGCTGGGGTCGACAGCAATGACCTCGGCCTTTTGCTTACCCTTGGCTTGTCTTCGTTGCTCCGCCTGTACCTAGGTTACCTGATATTCCAAAATAAATCAGTATTACCTCGTCGCACAGCTTTTCGACTGTGTTCTGGATCTGCGAAGCCACCTCGCGTTTCTTCTCTTGACTGAGGGGTGGATAAATTGCGTTGAAAGTGTCGAATGATTCAAAAAACTGTCTTGATGCCGAGATGAAGTCGATATTGAGGTCTTCGGCGATGAAAGAGACAACAACGTGAGGTGCCAGTAGATTGTCGATGAGGGTGTGTGGAGAGAAGCAGTCGACATCGCCATCATCGAGTATCCAGTCTTCGGTACGCTCCGCCACTCCAGTCAAGACCCAACTGAGTTCGGTGGTGGGGAAGTAACGAGCGACCAGTGTATGCAGTGCGGCTCGGATGGTGACCAATCCTTCGGGGCCAAAGCTGAAAAACGGGGTTAGTCATGGCCGCCACGACAGTTAAAGAAAGAGACACACTAGGATGCGTGCCGGTAATGACGCGTAGCAATGATCAGTGCTTCATGCTTGAATTTGTTTGCTTGCTGCTTGCGCGCCAAGTAAACACGATTGAATTCGGAAATCTTGAAGTCGATGGAATCAGTCAGGTCGCGGAGGAGAGTACTTTTTGCCAAGATCTTCTCGTCGCCAAGCAGGATGTGAAGCTCGTTAACCATGTCGATGACACGTTGCGGCAGAGTGGCAGTATCAACCTTGAGGGGCCAGCCGCGTTCGCTGGCCAGAGCAATAGCATTATCTTGACGTCGAGTATATTTGATTTCGTAGCAGATGTTCTCGTGGAGACTCGGAAGGAGCGGGGAATTTGGGTGAAGCATTGTGGCTTGAGTAAGTAGTTGAGCGAGTCGAGCAGATGGGGATGATGGGACTGGTTCGTTGCAGAGTGGACAAGTGTTGGCGGGGGAGGGCTCAATGTTGCTGAGCTTTTGGTGGTTATCTTGCAAATCGTTGTTATCGAAACCGTTCTCCGAGACCTTCGTCCATGCCCGCTTGAGTGTGCATTGTGGTATGACACAAGCACGCACCTGTGGATCCATGCCGCCATCCCCATCCAACTCCTCCGATTCACCGCCTTCACTGCTCCCCATCTCGTCATCGGAATTCCACCCGGCATCTTCTTCGGTCTCAATCTCAGTCTCCGCTTCCTCGTTTGGAGCAGCTGCAGATTTCTTCACCGCCATTTTGGGGCGCGGATGTGGATGTTCCTTGATCTGAAGTCCAGCGTTGGCGTCACCTGCAGGAACTGCCTTCTTGCGGCCCTTTCGTCGGAGCGGACGGTCTGTGCCCTCTTCGCGACACCGGAGATTGAGGAGCGCAGTTCGGAGCCGGGAGTCTTGGTTTTGGAGAAAGGAGCGCAAAATTTGATGAATTGGCCAGTAGCCCTCGTATTTCTTGAAGTATGTAGCCTCGCTAGCAATCTACGGCGGTTGGAAGTCAAGTAAAAGACTGGACTATTGCGCACCGCTTGAACAACTCTATCAAGCTTATTCTTGTCGGTGTATGTTGAATACGTGCCAGAGATGAGCATGTATTTCGGCGCTAGGTAGCGGACCACAGCCTGGATTAATTTCTACCGTTATTGCTAGAATGAAGAATGGAGCACCGCACCTTTAGGTCGTTGAAAGTATCATCGTGCTGTTTCCCCACCAACCTCATGCCTTCCCGTAGCTTGAACCCTCCAATTGCGCGTCCAGCGGAGCCTTTGGGTGCTGGTATGAGTTTCGGCCCCTCGCCTTCCTGTCGCGCAGTATAGGGAATGGGAAATGACGCGTCAGGTTAGTTGACACACCAATTTCTTCCTCATTTTCTTCATCTGCGTCCGACTTTTGGACGCGTCTGCCTCAGCAGCGACAGCCCGTGCTTCTGCCTCCTCCGCGCGTTGTTTCCAGTTGATTTCCGGAGAGGCCGCAGACATCGTTGTTGTGGTCAAGACCAAGATGTGATGTGACACGTGTCATATCACGTCAGATTCTATGACAGCTCGGTGCGGAGGCCGATATGATAACACTTCCGACTTCCTACAGGGTAATCCTGAGGATTGCACGAGTATGACAACTGTGACACAGTCTATGAGCACATTCAATCAATCTGAGTAACTTACAATCAATATGATTGATAGTGGTAAAACATCAAGGTGGAATGTTGCAGCTCACTTTGAACACAGACCTGTCAAGTATGAACATAATCTTATTGCCAGGAGCTGTGTAGAGCCTCTTAATATCACAATTGACAAATATGCAAATTGATTGTTTGTGAAAAACACTTGTTTTGATTGTAAAACCAAACAATCAATTTGTGCTTAATCAATGTGATTGTAAATAATGCAAATTGATTAACCTGCACTCATATTGATTGCAAGTCCTCCCCACAGTGCAAGGGCAGCCCCGGCGACAGCACACTGCGACGTCAACGGCAGCTGGCGAATGAAAGGGAGTCCACAGCGGCGGAGAGCAGAAAAAGGTGCGTGTTTGTTGTCCAAACACGATTTGTTGGCACCGAAGGAGGTTAGTCTGCTTTCACAGTCGTTTGTGCAGCATTGTGGAGGCAACGCACCTGCACCGCCCGTTTCCAGTGTCACTTCCCATCCACCAGTTGTTGCAGCTGCCTCCGGACCGTGCTCTGCACTCACCGCTGCACCGACTGCTGCACCAGAATGGGCACCACTGCCGGCCAGCTTCTTCGACAGCGGGGCGTTGAATATGGCTGCATTCATGCACTTCCAGTCCGCCCAGAACCCGCAGCCCACACCCCCGCCAGCCATTCCGACTCCTTCCACACTCCCCTCGCTGCTTGTTGTGCCCTCGATGCCCAGCCTCTCGCCTCAAACGGTTGTTATCGGTGATGATGTCGGAGGTGGCTAGCCAGACAGTGGGGAGGATATTTTTGTTGGTGGATATGCATCTGATTTCGAGGAGGAAGAGGCAGACGATGGGGCAGAAGCAGAAAATTCGTGTCCCCGGAAGCAAAGGAATTCCTCCGTCACCTGGTGGACGACGAAATCCCGAAAGCACTCCGAAAATACGTGACAACAACTCTCTTTCCTCGCATCGGTGTCAAGGCCGGACTGCGGCACTCGATATCTCTGTCGACGGCGCGCAAGTGGATGGCCAAATTTGGCTGGAAATATCAAGAGCATAAAAAGGCGCTTTATTACGATGGACATGAGCGACCCGACATTGTCGATTATCGCCAGAAAGAGTTCATTCCGGCAATGCTGCGACACAAACCACGATTGGTTGAATACGTCGTTGGTGATATCCACTGTTTGGTCGACAAGGGCACTGCAAGATGGACGCCAGAACGGGCACTTGTGCTCTGCGCGCATGATGAGGTTACGACGCAGGCCCATGATGGGAAGGCAAAGAGCTGGGGTCCCGTGGGCGAACAGCCATTGCGAAAGAAGAGCAAGGGTCGCGGAATGCATTACAGCGGGATAATCGTGTCAACATGCGGCGATTTGCGGGAGGCGGGACAGACGATGGAGTATGGAAAGAATTACGATGGATACTGGAACGGGGAGATGTTTGTGAACCAGGTCAGTACTCTCTCGACTTATTGTCTCAACCTTTCACTATTGGCTCAGAAAAAAAAAACAGCTCAAGGAGAAAATTATCCCGGCCTTCGAGAAGGAGCATGGGCCTGGTTATCAGGCCCTCTTCATGATTGACAACTCACAAGGCCACTCAGCATACTCCGTGGACGCACTGCTTGCCCAGCGCATGAACCTCAACTGGGGCAGCAAGCAAGCACGTCTGCACAGTGGATGGTATCTTAACTCGCGTGGTCAATGCATCAAGCAGCCGATGATATTTCCAGCAAATCATCCCGACCCAGCGCTTCGAAACCAGCCCAAGGGCATGCGTGTTGTTCTGCAGGAACGGGGGCTGTGGCGCTCAGGCTTGCTTCGCGAGTGCAAAACACCTTGCGGATCATCTGACCGTCATGACTGCTGCTGTCGCCGCATACTCGAGACACAGCTGGACTTTGCTGCTCAACATTCTCTTGTCCAAGAGACAATTGAGGCTGCGGGACATCTCTGCATCTTCCTCCCAAAGTACCACTGTGAGCTCAATTTCATTGAGTTTTTCTGGGGTGCAGTGAAGAAGTGGCTGCGAGATACCTGTGACTACACCTTTGAGGGGTTGAAGAAAAATTTCGAGGAGGCACTGGACTGTGTTTCGGTGGACACAATTCGGCAATGGGAGCACCGAACATGGCGGTGGATTGATGCATATAATGGTGGCTTGGGGTGCAAGGATGCTCAGGCGCGGGTGCGTCAATTCAGCTCTCATAAGTACAAGTCCCACCGTCGTGTTCCGGAGACACGTGCACATCAATTTGATGCTTAAATAATATATATTTTGCTTCAGAAATATGTTGCGAGTCGCCATCAGCCAGGTCATGTGCATGTCACGTGGCGCTTATATAATGCTTATATAATCCCGCTCAATTGGTAAGCCTTAAATTTTTACCCTGTAGGTTTGAGGGCAAACCCTCTAACAGAGTTGCTTGTAGGTCTAATATAATAAGTTTCATAAGAGCAATAAGCTATATCTATATCAGATGTCGAGCTCATTGCCTTGTCCAAATGTGGATGTGACAAGCCCGGCGGCACCATACCAGAGTTTGGTCAATCTTCTACAGATTTCAAGGTATGAAAAAAATGCAAGTTTATGTGGTAGAAGGGCTGGGCTGGGATATAGAAAATTATATCATCTGGATTCCACCTGGAATTTCCGGCTGCACAGAAATACTAAATTTAGCTGGAAACCACCTGGACCCAGATGTTGAGTTATATGGAAACCAGCTGGAATGCCCAGCTGGGTGACAGCTGTGGGCACTTTGGTGGTGTACTCTATTCTATGGTCCTGCTATATCCAATGTCTAGGCCTTGACATAGATTGTTTAAAGCCTGCTCTAGTGCATACACTGTCATAGCTGTACTCAAAAGTTGAACTTCTAAGGCACTATTAGAAACCTGAACATTACGTAGCTTCATTACTGAGAGGATAAAATCTGGCTTACATGTAACATCTCATGGGCAGACCCTGAGAGTTTCTTCTCTTTGGATCCTCCCCTGCTAGGACTCTCATTGGAGCCTCCAGGGTTGCCCTTACACTTTTGTTACATATTAATCAAAGCAGAAAAAAAGGGCATTGTTTGGTATCCCCATATACATTCTGCTTTGGGGACCATTTGTTGGTTGAAACCCCACTCGCAAAACCTTTTGTATATAAAAGATTGGAGTCTAATATATTGCTTACTAGACAGGCTGGGGCTACACCCCAGCTTCAAATATTGTTTCCCATTTTTTTTGCAGACTGAATGTGCCAATTTTATTTATGGGTTTATGAAATATCAAGGTCTGCATGCCTTCTATACTGATATTACAGCCAAGAACAACATCACAAATAGCCTTAGATCAAGGGGGTATCAGAAAAAAAAATAACAGAACATACGTTGGACTTTTTGTTTAAGCCCTTCCAGGGGACCCACCGACCGTGACTGTGACGTGACATTACCATATTAGGAAGGTAATTCACACAGTCATGTGATCTGATAGCATCAAACTCAGTCAGTCCTCTGAATTTCCAAGAACATTAATAGAAACATAGACTTCTAGCTATATATATATCTTGTAGACGAAGTCCTGATATAGTCATTGTCTTACAAATCTCACTCCAGAGTACAGATATCCATCCCATATGGTCTGATTTGTCACAATGTTCCATCTGATGATGAGATACTGAAAAATAACCACTTGTGAGATTGTTGATACTTAATTATGGATGTATAGTGCACCAAACAGTACTTGTAACCCATCCTAAGACAATTTTGACTTACCATTTCAGCCAAAAAGTTTCTACCAAAAAAAATTTTCAAGGGTCCGGAGGACCGACCGACCATCCCGGTTGTCACTTTTTGACACGTGACACCCCCTTGCCTTAGATTGGACTTGTCTATGGTACTTGATGTAAAATCTTGATTTTACAGCTTTTCTTACCAAATTAGGGTTTCAACAGCAGCGGTCCCAAAGGTGGAAATATGGAGTAAATGAGAAGGAATAAGGCCGCAAGCGGCAGAGAGCCGAACCGTGACCCTGCTGGACACATCATGTGATCATTGTGATGCCATCCCAATAAGGGTAATCAAAACACAGCCACTCCCAATTTGGGGGGGCTGGTTTTCATCTTCACTTATAGAGCCGAAACTTCGGTTCGGCAATAAATTGCTAAAGCTGATGCCAAACATGTGCATACATTCACACAACATCTGCTTAATATAAGAGTAATATATATATATATATATATATATATCAGCCCAAGCAATTCTACATCATTGATGAGAATTTCAGTCCCTGTTCCAAGTATTGGATTAGGTGTCTGTCAATCGTCGGGCCGAATGCGGGCTCGAACCAGGGCTTGCAACCGCAATTGGCAATGTCACAAGCGTTACCCTCTTTCCCCTTGACCACCATGTCGATCCCCGCCTTGACAACCTCCGAGCTGCGTCTCGAGCTAGCGCAGACCGAAGCAGAGATAGACGATCTTCGCCAGCAACTAGCTGCCTCTCTCAGCAAACGGCGGCAGATTGTTGCAGCGTTGCGCGCAGTCAAATACCCCAAGGTGGTGGATCTCCCCGCCGAGCTTCTAGGGAAGATATTCCTCAATTTTGGCGCCAAGCCGTGGCGATTCCCGCTGTTCGAACGCTTTACCTACGGCTGTCCACCGCTGGTTCTGGCGGCCGTCTGCCGCCGGTGGCGCGCCGTCGCAGTCGGGCTTCCGAGGCTCTGGAGCGAAATCACCATTCGACAGGTCCGAGAACCGGCCGAGGCCGCGGCGACACGGAGCCTGCAAATGTGGCTCGACCGGTCGCGCGGCTGCCCCCAGCTGGATATCGAAATGGATGCATCGTACGGGACCAACTACGGACTGCCGTTGTTGGAAATGATCTCAGACAACTCCGTGGCGCAGCGCTGGACCCGCTACAGCGGCGATATAACCACCCTGCTGGAGCCGCCGCCGATTCTGGAGACCCTGCGCGGCCGATTACCCGCGTTGCGGTCTTTGAAGCTCGATGGGGCTAGTGTTGATGACTCGGAGCGCGAGGACTACCCTCCGGTGGCACTTTTTGCTGACGCTCCCGTGCTGCGCGAGCTCTCACTCATTGCGATCCATTTGCCCCAGGTCGAGCTACCGTGGACGCAGATTACGACGCTTACACTGGAGTACCTGGACCGCCCCTACGTATGGGAACTCTTGACCCCAATGCACTGCCTGACAACCTTTACCATGCATGTGCAATGTGTGGAGCAGGACACTCTCGCGGCGCCGTCCGACGCGCAGACCTTGTGCTTGCCCCACCTCCACACGCTCGCCCTCGAATATAGTCATGATTCTAATCCCGGGCTCGGTTTAACCTGCCATTTCCAGTGGACGGACGGCCTCACGCTGCCAGCCCTCACGCATCTCCGCGTTCATGGCATCGACTCCAGTGTTGATTCCTGCGTTGCTGGCCTCCTGCGGCGCTCACAATGCAAGCTGGAGTCTCTAACGCTACAACCAGGGGGCAGTGGTCTCGAGAAGGACACTACTATCACAATCTTTCGCTATACTCCGGCATTGACAGAGCTGGCCATCCTGCAGGGCACCGCGGCGATGGTGCATCTGGTGCTCAAGGAGGTCACGACCCTGCGAGAGGACGAAAAGTGGTTGCGCTACTGCTACCGCACTATGCTCCTGCCGCAGCTACGCTCCCTCCACGTGGAGTTGTGTTCCGGAGTGTCGCCACTCAGTACGATCGCCCGCTGGCTTAGCCAGCAGAGCCACCTGAAGCCCGAGGACTTTGGGACAAACCCCTACGCACCGGCCCTCAAGGCGCTGCAGAACATCGCCTTCGTCGCCACGGAAGCCCAGGACAGCGCCTGGGTTCCAGAGTCAATGCGCACCGCCGCGGCGGATGAGAGCGGTGCCGTCGCTTCCTTCGAGGTTTGTGTGCCAGGGATGTACATAGAGTCCAGAAAGGTGCGGTTGGGGTTCAAGTTCTGCAGGCGCTCGGCCACTGATGATTATGTAGCAAGCCCCTCGTGGATGCTTGACAGATGTTTACGATGCCGGTGGGTGGCGGACTGTTTAACAAGTATTGACAAGCAAGTGGTGTGACTAATTGTGTATTTATCTATTTATCTATTTATTATATCCATCTTCACTTCTGGCACAAGATTCAATGAGATGTCGTCGACTCAATCAAGTTTATGAATAAATTCTTGCCCTCTAGTTGAATACGGGTTGGCATTTCCCTTGAGTGCCTGAATCAGTCCCTCCGTGCGGCGTATTGATCAAAATAGAAACTGTCACTGATCGCGCGGTGATCGCGTTACATTTAGACGCCACGAAGACCACAGGTGATGGCGACTGGTAGACCGCGCCGTGGTGGCAGCTTGGGACAGCACCTCCACGTCGGCCGTGTGGCGAAATGGTTACCGCGTTGCTTTCCGGAATAGGTTAGGCAAAGATTGTGGGTTCGACTCCCATCATGGTCGCTGACTCTTTTCGGACGCATGTCACCCCTTTTTCTGCCTTGTGTTTTACCGGCCCCCCCCTCGGCGCGGTTCTTCACGACGACTACTTAACTCTTTCCAGGGGGCGCGTTGTCGTCCCTGCTCACAATGGAGCCGCCCTCATTCCCTTGTTTTTCCTGACTCAATCGTCCTAAGTACTACTGTCTGGTGCAACATGGTCTGTGCACTTCCTAAATTCTAGGACATCTTGATATTCAAGTGGACATCTTGATATTCAAGCGTGCTTCTGTCCCTGCCCTATCAGTCAGCAAGGCCCGGGGTTTAAACGTCTAAACGTCGGGATGGTCATCAGGAAACACGGAATTTGCTATACCACCTTATGCCCCAGCTACCAACGGCCCTATAGCCCATGTAGCACTATCGTAGCCATGGCCCAATGTCCTGTAGACCTCCATCGCACTATATATATAACACTTGATGATACAGATTGATGAATATATTATTGTGGAGACTACAAGTTCTACTTCATCTATGGATAAGAATGTAGCTATTGAACTAAAAATGAATGTGATTTGCCCCACGTGCAAGTGTTGCCGCAAGCTGGGCCTGTCGGCGTTGATGGTACTCGGATACAAGATGCATACCATATCGGAAAAGGTGAAAGTCACGGTGTCGTAAGTAAGGATTGAAATAGAAGGTAGATGCTTGGGTCAGTATTGTGTTAGTGTCCCAGCTGGATGGCGTGTGAGAGGGGTATTTGGGAATCAGATGGCAGGTCTGCGAGATATCCGACAGTGGGATGACAGACGCTCGGCGTTGGCCAACCGAGGTGGAGTGAGAGATACGCGATAGACCCGAAGCCGAGTTGAAATCATCAAGAGCATTGCGGAATGGTGTAAACCAGTGGACGTACACAAGTGGTTGCACATAAGTTGTTACACCTGGTGGAAGGCGGAATATCAATTTGACGTGCGCCGCTTGAAGGCCTGAGATTCGTGAGGAAAAGTATCAGGGCAGCAAGGCAAATTACCACTGAGAGGCCCATCTTTCCAGTTTGTTGGACCAACACGAACCAGAACTGTGCTAAATTTTGCGGGACTGCTCCGCCGAATACCCTGATTTGACATTGAACCCGATGCTGCAAGGATTGCGTGGATGATGTCAGGATGCTCAGCATCCGATTCCGCGGCACGAATTGCTGGCAAATTGAGACTGGCCTTTTTGAAAGCACCAAACCGTGACATGAGGCCAAGATTCCCACCACCAGGGACATTTTCCTTCGTTAAGAACTGTTGAACATAGTAGAGAAAGTCGCGGACTTGAAAGCGACTCTCAATTTCGGCGGCTGAGAGGTTGGGATAGGCAGGTCGGGTAGCAATGTGATAGGCAGTAGATTGAGAATCATCCCCCGGCAGTGTCTTCTTCATCCCGATCGTCCTCCTTTATATCAGCCTGCTCCCAATCATCCCATTCGACATTAGAAGGGGGCTTGTAGCCCTGCCCGGGTGCATATCCGGGGCAAGCCCACTGGAGATATAGCGAGAAACGGTGGACTGCTTCTTGGCGGGTGAGCCAGCCGCGTCATTTGCTGAATGTAATCCCGGCGGTTCGATGCGCGATAGCCATTCTTAGCTAGATCAATGTGTAGCCGCTCAGTATTCTCCGTATTGTAGCCGTCGGCAGAGCCAAGAAGGCGAATCGAGTCCACGTAATGCCGAATGTTGTGCAGCTTGGGAATGTTGAAATCGTTGCGCTCAGGTCCGAGCTCTTGAAAGACGGGCAAATCCTTGTGCATCTTCTCCCACGACATTTGCATAGCGGTGAGCGAATCATCTGTTTGCACCTGGAAGTGGGCATAACTCATGAAATCCAGAAGGTGACGCATGACAGACGCCACTCTCTTGTCGACCTCATCGTGTATTGCACCGAGGAACGTCTTCGCCAAGCCACGATACTCGGAACCTGTCCATTCACTGCAGGAGTTCGGGAATAAACGGCCCCCGTTTCGATCCATTATATGGCTAAAATCAATGTACCAAAAAAAAGATTTTTTTTATACCTCTATTTGTGCCAAAAAAGGTTCACTTATATGATCCAGGGCCCTGATATATGTTATATAAGGGCATATTCACCATATCAGTACATTTTTTTTGGCACAAATAGAGGTGCAAAAAAAAAATTATTTTTTGATACATTGATTTTAGGTGTATAATCGATCGAAACGGGCGCCGTTTATTCCTGAACTCCCGCAGTGATTGCTTGATGACGGAGGTGCCGTTAGCAAAGTGACGGAGTGTGGGATGGCGCGGCATAGCCTTGAAGCGAGCATCAAGCTCCTTCTTCCTTTCGTCCTCCGTCCCTCCCATCGATTCGGCCGCCCAGCTAGAAACATGGTCGGCGAAGACACCCTTGTGGAGTTGATGGAGGAGGTCGGGGGTTATACACGAGTGGATGTCGCAATGAGGTAAGTCGGCCCAGAAAGGAGTTACTGGTCGTAAATTGAGCTCAGTGAATTTCTTCGGCTTCAGACCGCGCGCTTGCTCTTCCATCACCTCCAATGTCTCCCTCTGCGTCCGCATTGGATGCTCCACAGTTGATCCTCGCTCCTTGGGCGGACACGAGCACCGTGGACACGAGTTCTCCTGACAGCAAACAACCAGGCATTGCTCTGGGTAGTCTGCAATGTATGCGGCTAGCAATGGGAAGCACCATCGAACCCATCCATCAGCGCAGGCGATATCGACACCCTCCTTCCCAGCGGCGACCATAGTTTCAAGCATCTTCGACATGCAATCGTGAAAGACTTGATACGCGCCGACTTTTTACGCGCTGACTTTGAGTAACAGTCCAATTTCGGGACAGGTATGTAGCCCAAAAGGACTGTCGCTCGTGAATTAGGCTGACGACGAACAGATTTACTGATATTCCCAATCGAAATATATACTGGCCAGGCCTGTTTGTCGCCTGCGAAAGACGACAGCTGGGTCTTATCGGAGGAGAGAATGACGGGGATGATTGTGGCGCCATCGTCGAGGAGGTCCTGCATTATGTGAGTCAGTGGCGTCTTTAACGTGGATATTAACTCACCTGCGTGTCCCACCACCAGGTCCCCGTCCACATTTCATCGTATTCGCGGTTACGAAGCTCCCCCGTTACACTGTCTTTCTGACGAAACAGACGCATCGGCTTGAACACTTGGTCTTCTTTGAACACCGGGTTTCCGAGTAGTTCTGCGATACACTCGAGCGGGTTTCGATGCCACAGCTCGATGACCTCCACCTTCCCCTTCCCATCCGCATCTATCTCATCACCGGCAACCGTCATTGGCGTGCACATCCAAGCGGGGCCTGTCGGAAGCGCGTCGATGTGCTTGAAGAAGGCGCGGCTGGTGGCGAAGGGAGGATCCAGTTTTTCCCTCACCTGAGATGGTAAGGACAGCAACATATGGATGAATGGAAGGAAACTCACCGTTTTCAGGTGGAGAAACTCATCAATGCTGCCTTGGGACAGGCCGGACCGTACGAGCCAGCGGCCCAGATCCCAATCGTCGAGTGCTGGGAATGGCGAGCATGCGTCCTCGCCTGCCAGCTCCTTTTGTTCAAACCACTCTTCAAACGGAGTTTTCTCCTTCCATTGCCCCCATCCGGCTTTCCGCTCGACTGGATATGGTTGGCGGTGAAGATATCGAGGGTCATAGCTGGATATAGGGTCGTTGGATGTGTCGTCTGGGACCTCTTCCATGCGTGGGTGTCTCGGCGGCGACTGCTGAGGAAGTGGCTCGTTTGTGGGTGGCGGCGAAGAGTCGATATCCATTGGTTCTCCAGCATCAAAAACCCCCGGTGAGCGCTCGACCTCCTTTTGCGTGGATTGCTGCAACTGACGCGCCCGGATTTCTCGACAGCGCTGGTTTTGGCTCTGGTGAGAAGCAAGGCCTTGCTTCGTTGCCGTTCGTGAGCCACAGATGGCGCACTTGAGCATTCTTGGAGCGAGTGCTTAGTCGCAAAACGACTAGCTTTAGGCCGGTCTTGGCTGCTCTCCTGCGTGTCGCAGCGATCGGCCCTCCATATGGCGAGGGCCCTCCAATCGATCGGCCATATGGTTTGCTGACGGTCACATGTACTTCCCGCAGCACTGGTTTCTTCTGCTCCACCACCATGGCTGCTCGTCCTCCCCGAGCAACAGCCGCTAAAAAGTATCAAGATGGTGAGCAAGTGCCGATTCAGCGTGTTTGTCGGACTCACCTCCACAAATGCAGCATACGAACGCGATGCCGCCCGCCTAGCCCATATGCAGAAGGAGATGGACAAGCTTCGCCAACGGCAAGCCCAGCGTAAAGGTACGAAAGCTGCAGCTTCAGGGCGAAGGCTAACAATGCTTTTTCCAGACGACCTCCCGCAGTATATCGATGACGATGGGCCGGAAGACGAGGAGGTGACCAGTCCTCCAACTGGTGCTGCTCTGCCACGTCGTCTCTTCGGGACTTCAGTGCGTGGCCGTTTTTCACTTACTCTGGCTTAACCAGTACCCTAGGCTGTCGCTGGCGAAACATACACGCCCCAGCCACCATCTGAACGGGTTCCAACCCGACGCCGACACGATAACACCCACGATAACTCCCACCCACGGCCAGTCTTTTCCGACCGCACCAACAGCGGCATGGACTTCGACTCATCCCCTTCACCATCGGAGCTCCGCAAGCGCAAGCAGGTCGGTGGTGGCAGCGCCGCTGGAGGCGACGACGACCCAGCCAGTCTTTTTGACGACGACCCCCAACCTGTCGGCAACAAACGAGCTCGTCTTGATGACGAAAATGGCCAGCTTTATGGTGCTAATCATAACAGTGAGCATGTCTATTCGTCTGAGCGTCATACTTATGTTTGCAACACAGACTCGGAACAGCTTGTAACTGGTGAGGACGACGATGACCTCAGTCGGCCTCATCACCGCCGGATTCGTGTTGGCACCAACACTGGCGATGGTGCGTAGTTTTTTCTCATCATTCTGCTGTATTAACATGAATATCAGAACGGCAGTCGAGCCCACCAGCAACACCGGGCAAGACGGTCGCTGTTTTTGCTCGCAACTACCAGCCTGGTGGAAAGCCGAAGGCGGAGGACTACGAAGCTGGCCCATATGAAGTCATCATCTCTGCCTGCCACGAAATGGAGGCAATGGTGGTGACAAAGGCCGCATTCATGCGCGTTCGGGAAGCTACTTCGGATGCCCCTTCTGGTCAACAACTCCCGCTGGTCAACGATGTGATCGATGAGTGCTGGGAGAAGGCTAACCAGCGGAAGGGTACAAACTACGCATTGACAACGCACATTCGTCGTGTTGTTCGTGGCCATTTCCTATATTATTCTCGCTAACAGTATTTTAGGTTAAGCAGCGTGCGAGTCGTATTCGCGGGGAGTTCCTGCGCTCCGCCGGCCGTGCCATCGTTCAAATCGAGTTTCGACTGCAGAATGGGACAACGAACAAGGTCCAGCGTGAGAATCGGAAGCGCTATCAAGCCGCCGTCGAGGGCCAGGCCTATCGCTACAAGGTTAGAGTCAATTGCTGCTTATCATCGCTAATATTGGTTGCTCAGAATGTCAAAACTCAGGAATACCTCTTCGAGAACAAGACGGCGCTCAACATTTTGCGTCAGGCTTGCTTCAATAACGGCAGCAAGTCGTTTGGGATCTTGCAGGAAGAGCATTTCTCCCCCGACATCAGCCTTCCCACTATCGCGTTCGTCTACACCATCGTAAGTGACACTCTTATCTTTGACTATAGCACTGACTTCTCTTTCGATTCAACACTGCCTTGAGGAATGGAAGACCGGCTTCCTCGTTCGCCAAGACTTTGAGGAGACCCTTGTCGCGCCAAAATATCATGCGATGCTTCGCGATGTGATGGCGTGGGACGCTGTCGATCCTGCATTCTCCCTCAAGTTGCGCAGCAAATGGGGAAGAAACCTCCGGTATCATATCATGTTACTCACTTACATCCTACTAATCTTGCTTCAGTAAAGATGCTGGCCTCACCGAAGAACATCAAGTCGTCGAGGGCTTTGTAACCGATGCCATCAAGGACAAGATTCGGAAAGAACAAGAAGGGCGTGCTGGGGATAGTGAGTCAGAGGAGGAACATGATGAGGGAGCAGATGATTAGCAGACATGTATTGTGAAATCCATTATGTTTTATGCTTTTATTATGTGAGGCATGCATATGAGATCCAATGTCTACAAGTATCAGTATAGCTGTTGTATCAGATGCTGCCCTGTAGCAGCAGCAGTAGGTACAGAGGCTACAATGAGATACAGGGTGCTATGGTAGCAGCCTCATAGCAAGTAGTCAGTGCTACAGACTGCTACAGTAGAGATATATAATTGGCACCTTGTATACAGAGCTACAGATGCTATATAGGACATTGTAGCACTACACAATCAACTGCAGTGCTTGCTGATGGTGCAGCTGAAGCTGCAGCCGTCGGTGACGCGCACCACTCCGCGGATGTAGAGCGCCGGCACGCGGCTGGATGATGGTACGCGCCGGATTAGCTTGATATGTGGAAGATTCCGAGTCAAGAGCGCGGCGGGCAGTGAGGGCCGTGCTACTCGGGAAAATGGAAGAAGACGGAGGAGGTGGTGCGCTCCCCGAGGTCTAGCGCGACAGCAATGGCAGTACGCCTTTGGTGCCCAAGATGCCTCAGAGGGCGGTGAGTGAGTGAGTGTCTCCGTAACCTGCGCAAGCCTGAGGGAGACGAGCTGCTGCCGTGGAGCTCATCGACCTCGACCTGGATTATGATATGGATAGGCCTGGGTAGGTCTGCTGCCGGTGAAGCGCGGGCAGCGGGGTACAAACGCGGAGAACGAGTGGCATTCGTTGACGGCAAACGGTCTGGGTGAAAGCCAAGTGAAGGTTGTTGACCTGTATCGCTTCAAACAAATCAGGGATGAGCGGGATCCTTTCAAAAAGAGACAGGTCGGACATTCGAATGTGCAGTCCCGGCGTCGAACCTAAAAGCCTGCAGGAGCTACGCGTGTAGAGTTGGTGTAGAGCCATGGAGGAGCTCCGACGTGGGCCGAGGGCGTGACGAGCGATCAGGGCCTAGACCGTCAGATGACATCACGGCAAGCGCACATCCGTGACAGCGTGTCGTCAAGGCTGACACGCATCTTGCATCCGCCCTACCTCCCGTTGCCGCACGCGTCCGCCCCCATGGCGAGCCCCCCTCACAGCTTGCCCACGCAGCCCTTCGTGCAGGCGGGCGAGCCGCTGCCCGAGTTCCTCCGGACGTTCTGGCAGCGACAAATCGACACGGCCGAGGCCGAGACGCCCGACTATCGCCACCCCGCGCTGCCGCTCGCGCGCATAAAGAAGGTTATGAAGAGCGACCCCGACGTGAAGGTGCGTCCCGTCCCCGCCGGGCTATCGCCAGCCAATGGGCGCACGAGCTAATCCTCCCCAGATGATCGCTGCTGATGGTACGTCACCAAACGAGGCGATCGAGTGCGATTGGCTGCAGCTACTTTAGCACCGGTGTTGTTCTGCAAGGCCTGCGAGAGTGCGTGACCCTGTTTTTGCCTGCCCCCTCCCCCTCCCCGCCCTCCCCACACTCCCTGCCACTTCCCATCTCCTCGCTGCCCATCCATCGCCCCGCCCACCGTCCTCACCACCCGCGTAGTATTCATCGCAGAGATAACCGCCCGCGCGTTCATCGTCGCCGACGCCAACAAGCGCCGCACCCTCTCCCGCGCAGACATCGCCAAGGCGCTCGCCAAGTCCGACCAATTCGACTTCCTCATCGACATCGTCCCCCGCGATGAGCCCTTCGCCGCCCGCGACGGTGCCCCCGGCCCTGGCGGCAAGCGCGACCCGGAGCGCGAACCGTCTGGCTCCAGCGGCGCCGCGGGCTGACACGAAGAGAGAGGAAAAAGAGGGAGGGCAGAGCCTGGAGTATGCACAGTGTGTGGTCGTGAACTTGAGCTTGTTAATGTTAATGCCAGCATCGTCGATGAAAAAATATCCTACCCTCAGTTACGTCCCTCCTCGATTCGATCGAGCCACCGCAAGTTGTTGCAATAGGTATTGAGCGGGCGGAAGTATACGGCATAACTTCGAGGGCACGACTACGACGAATGCTTGGGGTATATGACCCTACAACGTGAAGCCATCCGGTGCCTGTGGGCAGGCCTCAACAGCAAGTCCTTTACATGACTGACCAACTTCGGTATGAAGGACTACTGAGCATGACTCAAGTCCGTCGCAGGCCGGTTCAGAGGGCCACTGGCAAAGAAAAATCTGCCATCCTAACACTACGTCCCTCACCTCGGTGCGATCGAGTGCGCCGGCCCGTGGCCGGGCGGACGTCTGAGCCGTGAGGCTTGCAGAGGTCGTTGGGTGCGTGCCTGCAGCTAACAATAAAGAGGAATAATCAGTTTATAGCTCGAGGGGTGGACAAGTGTTACAGGAGCTGCATAATACCCTACTGCCCGACGTCAAGGTCAGCCCGTTCAAGGCGGCAAAAATGTCGACGATTCGATTTCACGGCCCTCGACTCGGCGCGAACGAGCCCCAGGACCTGCCGGTGCGAGCGAGGCGGAGCCGGGCGGCACTGAGGTTGTTGCAAGCCTACGTTCAAGAGCACAAAAAAATTGGCAACTGTTGGTATGCGCTGGAAGTCCTCGCCTCAGTGCGATCGAGGGCACAAGAACTGCCCGAGCCGGTACACTATCGACTCGTCATTCTAGAGGTTGTTGGGTGAGCACACGATTTGCCCCGAAGTGTTGATGCAAAGGATTACTACTCCTCAGCAGATCGTTACGATTCCGAATCGTAACGTCGATTCGGCGCCACACAAAACAACGACGTTGTATCAGTGGAAATTCTTGACCTGGGCGCGAACGAGCCACAAGGACTGCAGCACTGCTAGGGCGGACGTTTGAGGTGGGCGGCTTCAAGTTCACGTCCAAGTTATTGGGTGAGTACTGACGATAAACTATTGATACATATACTTCATCGCTGATATAACTCGAGGGCCGGACGGGAGTGTGAACTTGTGTTTACCGTTTGTGCATCGTTACTGCTTTCGGCATCACCGTTCCCACGATTGACGACGTCGACATGAATGGCACTTACGCAGTCAAGCCTCAAAGAGAAGTCATTCACGATGACCGACCGAAAAGAACCGTTATCATCCAGACACGACGCCCAACACACCGAACAATTACCTGACTTCGAAGCAACAAAAAAGCTAATTATCTCAAAGCTACTCTTAACCAGTTCCTCGCCTTGGCGCGATCGAGGGCCCAAGATCTGCCTGAGCGACCATTGCACAGCTGGGCAGTCAGAGGTTGTTTAGGTAAGTATTGACAACAGATGCTTATCTGTGCGCGCGCGTTCCCACCCCCAAACGAGGGGTCAGTGCATCATGATTCCTGCCACATTATTCTCTCACGCCAGCGCTGCTTCTTCTGTACCTCTTCCACCTTACATAATGCTCGGGCAAGCAGAGGAAGCAACTGCGCGCTGTGAGTCTATACCTCATGTTTTTCAACGTGCTCACTCCAAGCAGCGTCGCGCTGGCAGGTCGCTGGCACACAGCTCAATGCCACTCTTGGATATAAAAGCAGTGGCAGGCTAGTGGCCCTCTGAGACGATCGTCTGCGTTCCTGACCCTGCTTCCCAACCTCAGTTTCATCACTGTGAGTCTTTTGTTTTTTCCTTTAAAACATATGTTACGCCGATATAGATACGGCCATCATGGGCTTAGGCGGCACTCTTACATCCGGCATCCAAGACATCGCCGCGTTCCTGCCCATCTTCGGGACAGACCAGTGCGAGAACCACGTTGGGTCCGCGCTCGACAACGGGTACCTCTACGCGGCCGCCGCCCCGCTGTCGCTCTTCGGCTGCCTCGGCATCGTCAAGACGGCTATCAGCGTGCTGTTCGCGAGCGTCAGCGCCCCGTTCAACGGCGCGCTGAAGCTGAGCGATGCCGGGTTCGAGCTGGTGGGCTCCGTGGCCCCGATGATCGGCATGTCGGCCGAGCGCAGCTTCGAATTCGAGACGACCAATCGCGTAGCCGCGTGTTTGGCGGACAAGTCGGCGGCGGACGACGCGATGCACAACTACTATACTGCTGTTGAGCCCGAGTACACCACGTGGAACCTCGCGCTGACGGTGTGGACGCTAGTTTTGTCTGCGGCTGGACTCACCCCGTATGCGACGATCATCCACACCGAACACGGCGCTGTAAAGGCGTGGATATACCCCGTCCTGCGCGTCATAGGCTCAGCCCTCTGCGCGATATGCGTACAATTCCTGCTGCAGCGCCGAATCGTTGCGATTCTTCTCGATGACGCTGGTCTTCGGAGGAACCACCAACGACAATCATACCTGCTTGCAGCCCTCCGTCTTGCCCTCGTCCTGGGTAGCGGTGCCACGGCCGTTGGTTACGTCGGGTGCTTCAATTTGCTGCAAGATGCATCGACCCGGCAGACATTACTTTGGCTGGTTCTCGAAGCCATCCTCTGCGTTCTGCGAGTTTTTGTCTGGTCGCTCAACCCAAAGTTTGACGAGGATATCCAATTGAAGCTCACGTTGTGGGCTGCCATTCGACAAAGTAGCCAAGCCACCACCTCTGTTCCCTATGAGAGCATGTTGCCCAGGGATAACCATGCAGGCCAGCCATTCAATTGCCTCCCAGCAACACAATTCATGCGCATCACACAAACAAGCCGCCCGTTTCAGCTGGGCCGACGGCGTCGGGCGTCCCCGTTCTATCATTTCACAGCTGCACTTTCGACAGAGACAAAGTCGCTCTACTTTTTGTGTGCCTTCAACAAATCGGAATCCGGATCTGTACAGCATCCAGTGCATATGGCTCAATTAGTGGCACTTGTCAACAACACATATGCCCACGACCAAACCATTGTCGCTGTTTACAAATATAGAGATCTCCAACCCTTCGCCTGGTATGACGCTAACTTCACCAACAACCCGGAGAATGGTAAACTGGGTATAACTCTGCACCATGAAACCAGTCCTCCTGGGAACAACTTATTTCCCAGCACTGGCACTGGTGGGATGTGGACTGTGGCGGATATGAATTATGTGGTTGCGCAGGTTATGAACCCATTTAATGATCCTGCTCTCCAGAGCAAAACTCTGCTGATTTCATTTGGTGGGAGGGTAAAAGCCTTAGGGACTATGGCCCCTGAGGAGAAGGACGGAGGACACCAAGACACATCACTAGTACTGCCAGTTTAGTTTGAGGAGATACAACTACTATGGTTTGAGGAGATACCACTACTATGAATTTTGAATACAATCTGATTGATTTTTGTTTTCCCCTGATGGCATTGTAACCACATTGTAACCACACTGACAGCTGGGGTATCTCATGACTTATCTTACAAAATAATATTCCTTCAGCTTATATTACATTCAGAACTAGATGCTTAAAGGATCTTAGTGTATTAAATATATCCATAATATGATATAATGATAATAATGTGATTATAATATTGGATACAACCCCAACCAACCTTTGACATTTTCAACCTTACTTTTCAGTATATGGGTCAGGACCAATATTATGCAATGCTCTGGAACACTAGCTTATCCAAATCACTCTGTTCGATCTTGTTCAGAGGAGGCTTTTCAGTCCCACATCTGTAGTGAATATTACAATATTGATAGTATATTATCAGTAATGGTTCAGGTCAAACATTTTCTCACTGTCTGCTGACATATAAGTTGCTAGAATAATGTATTATAATATCTTATGCTGAAGCCATCATAATGATATAATAATATAGTCCCATGATATAAGATGGAATGATACAATATTGTAATATAATATAATATAGAATAATATAATATTTGTTCTGGGTATACTTAATCAGTGTTGTGGATAAGGGTATAGCTCTTCTAGACAAGTGTCAAGATAGCTTCAGTAATACATAATAACTGAGTAATTTAACTAAGATGTTGTCAATTGATCCATCAATCATTGCAATCAGATGATCAATAAGGTTAATAAGGCCTTACCCAAATTTTCCAGGCTTGATAAGGCCTTACCTTATCTCGAGATAAGGCCTTAATAAGATAAGCCCTTATCAACTTATCCACAACACTGTACTTAATATAATTATAATAATAAAAATAAAATAATACATCTTAATATAATAATGCCTAGCACTAGGCACTAAGTACTTAAGATCACTCTTGAAGCGGTAGCACAACAAAATCCCCTCTCCTCTTGTCCTCCGGTACCAGCACAACTGACCGCTCATCTATATACGCGTTCTCCACCCACCGCCACCAACCACGTTCCAATGCCCTCCGGTCGGCTGCCTTCGTCGGTACGGACGCTGGGACCGTACTGGGACACGGGGTCCACACAAGCGGGCCATCCTGCTCGCGTGGGAGACCTGCGGCCACGAGCGCTTCCACAGGACATGCAATAATGGACCCGTTGCCGCGGACGATGACGATGCGCGAGCCGGATGGGGTGAGAGCACAGACGGTCACGCGCTTCGAATCTGTTGCACCCAGCGAGTGTTCAGCCAGGACGGCCCCCGTGCTGGGGTTCAGAACGATGAGGGTCATACCCTCTTCAATACTCCGATAGCCGTAGGCCACCAGGAGGTCGGCCGCAGTGCTGTGCCGCAGCCATGTCGTACGTTGTGACAGTAGCACAGCCCATCCCATGGTCGCATCGCCTCCCGAAACGCTGACGCGCCGAACAGCAGTCACAGGCTCTTCATCGGCGAAGTCGAAGAAGGCCTCCGTATGCGCCATGACAATGGAAGCGCAAGTCCCATCTTCTGGCGGCACTGGTACCGTAATGGAGTCGAGCAACATTGAGTCGATTCTGGCACGAGGCAGGTCGTTGGGCGGCAAGCGGAGGGGTGGGAGAGTGGTGCCAGTGCCAGCAGTGGCGGATTTTGAGCTGCGATTGATGATCCAGTGAGCTAAATGCACGCTGGGATCCGGAGAGCGTGCTTGCGAGAAGATGACAGTGTCTCGCGACAGGAACACAGGTTGCGGGATATCCGACGCGTACGCCGTCGACGTCGGCGGATGTTCGATCACCGTCCCAGCATTGAACTTCGCTCCAAGGCCCTCCGTGATGGAGATGCTGTAGATCCGGGCCTCGGAAGCATTTGGGTGTAGAAACAACTGATTCGAAGGGGAGATCATGGCGCCGGCGCCACCGTGCCCAATATCGAGAGAGTCCTGCATGTCGCCGTGTGAGAGGGAGTAAACGGAAATGACGGTATTCCAGTCGTCAACAACGGAATGGATGAGCAGATGTGTGTCCTGGAGCACCGCGCACCGCCAAATGCGGCCCGGAGGGACTGTGTCAAGCGTCAAAGTCAGTATTGCGGAATTCCCCTCTAAATTGACGGTCCATAGAGTGACGGGCCCGCCTGACCCAGCGCAGACGATGAACGGATGCGCGTATGCAACCGGGGGAGATCCTGCGGTGGAGACAGTGCCCATGCGAGACTATAGTAGTTGAAGGAAGAGAGATGCGGCTGTGGCAGTGCGGCAGATGCTATCAGAATCGACGGGCGGTGTTACAGCGGAGGAATATTTCCAGGGCCGCTCGGCGGTGATTAAGTCAGCGAAGTATTGAGTATACGGGTATCTGAGAAATTCAAGCCAGAAATATCCCCCTCAAACACGCCACTTGATAGTCGGCCGCGCAACCTGATTGCAGCAGCAATGTGGTCCGCGGGAGCTGTGGGATTCGTAGAGATGGACACGGGTTTATAAGAAGCAAAGTTCCATCTACCTTCCTGTATCGCGCTTGGCCGTGCTCCTGAACTCTTCCTCGATCTTTGCCTTTTTTTTCTTTTTCTCTTCGCCGGACGACTCCTTGGGTTACTATGAAAATTTTCACATTGTTCATCCTGTTTGTGGGCGGCCTGTTGGTTTCGGCAGTGCCTATTGCCCCCGCGTATGACTTCATCCCATCCTTTTCATTCCAGTCACTGATCTTGTACACTGGCAGTGATCATGTTGAGCTTGATGGTCGCGCTAAGATCGTTCGGCCCGCTGCACCTGCCAAGAAGGCACCTGCCAAGGCGCCCGCTAAGGCGCCCACACCTGCCAAGGCACCAGCTAAAGCTCCAGCACCCGCACAGCCACCTCCATCTAAGTGCAATGCCATTGGTTCTTGTCTAACATGCAGTGCGGCACCTGTTCATCCTTCCTCTTCTCTCAGGCTAACTCTCAATGTCATAGCCAAAAATAAGCAGTGCACATTTAATGCCTCCACGCTCAAATGTGTAGCACGCAGCACGACATCGAACGCCAACACAGCCCCATTCACAACCACAGCAAGCCATTGCCCGCCCTTGAAACAGGCAGCCAGTCTCGCACCGTCCGCAGCAATCAAGAACGATGCTGCAGCACGCTTCCAGGCAATGGCGGGGCACATCTTTAAAGGTGAATCCACCTCAAAAACATCCGGCAGACACACATTTTCCGCATGGCGCGCTGCGAATCGAGATAGGGGCCGGTGTGACACGGAGAGCCGGTTGTGCGCCTTTCAGCTTGATAAGACGGACACACCCCCCAAGACTGTCTTTGACGACCGTGCTGATGGGTTCACTGCTGCTGATGTGCAACAGATGTGCACAACGGCAATTACTCTCAACCTACAGAACAGCGCAGGTGGGACTCTCCGTGATGGTGCATTTGTAGTACAAACCAAATTTGGGCGACCTGTGTGTGTGCAGCACCAGGTTGCAGGACAAGGGTCCTGTTTCCCCCTTGGTATACACAATGTGAAAGGAACAAAACTTAGTCAGAAGTGTACATCAACAGGGAATGCTGAGACAGCAGGGACTGTTGAGATTCCCAAGGGGACATCATAATGTGAATGGCAGAGTACATACCAGTTTTTGTTTTTAAGCCTTGGCCAGGCCACTGACCAACATGTGACTGTTGGATAAGATAATATATCCTATAAAAGGAAATATTTGATTACAGATGTCTGTTAAGATGGGAATACTTAGTGCTTCCCGCAGGTGTTGTCTTGCACATGGTAATTTGATCTAGTCATGAACAATCAACACATACATCATACTGCGACAATATGTCAAGTTTGCAAAGCTGGGAATGGCTCTAAATTCACAGGTGAATACTGTAGTATTTTACTCAGTTTGCATGTCACGTGTCACACTTGCCATAAAATTTGAATTTTTTTCCGCATGTCACACTATTTTGTTCAAATTCATGTCCCAAAAAGGCAATTTTTAACGTTTCCGGGCGCCAAAGGCGCCCCAAGAACTTTCTAATTAGGCAATAATTTGAATTCAAAATTTCGTATCAAATGTCACACCATTTTTGGCATTCGAATTGCACCTGTACACGGGGTTTTTTTAAAAAAAAGCCTTCTCATTACCAGTGTGAATGTTTCTAAAAAATGCCTCTAATCTATGCCCCTGCCAAAAGGTGGGTTTTATATAGGGAAATGAGAGATCAAAAAAAGGTTTAAAAAGTTGAAAGGCCATGTCAGGGTGGGCAGTGTGGTAGCTATAAGGCCCCAGACCTGACGTGTGGAAAATTCCTTAGGTATAGGGAAAATACTGAGTAGGGGGAAAGCCAAAAAAAGATGAAAAAAAATGTTGATGCAAGGTGTCAAGAATGATACGGAGTTTGACAGGGTGGATTTTATTAAAACGAGGGGACAACTTGTAAATCACTGATGTTTTTTTAAAAATGTTCATCTTCTAATTACAAGGGATCTTTTTTTTTTAAAAAGCCCCGTATACGCCTGCGAATTGAGTAAAATACTACAGTAACATGACAGGAAGGTGGCTGGGCTCAACAAGACTAGGGCTCCAACCTTTTATTTTTCGTTTATTCAAATTATAAAACAAATGGAAATGGTTCAAAAATGTTTGAAAACTGTTTATAAACATTTATAAAGGGTTACATCTTACTAAGCCTGTCCATGTCAATGCTGGGGTAATTCAAGCACATCTTGGTAAGCAAAACTTGTGTCAATGCTGGAGTATCTGTACAAGGATGCTATTATTAGGGACACATAGGACTAACCTATTATAATATTATCATGCTAAACACATACTAATATTATAATTTAGTCCTCTGCATCATTATGTACATAATAAATTATCATAATAAATTACAATATAGCAATGAAGCTTTTGGTCCAACTTTGGTTTTTCCTTGCTTGGCCTTGGCTTGGTCCAAAGCCAAGGCCAGCAATTCACTATTCCTGCCTATTCAATGGTTCAGCAGCTATTGTGCATCTACCCACTGATTATCAGCCTCATACTACTAGTAAAACATCTACAGAAATTATTATTAAGCCCTGCCAGGGTGACCCAGCCTCCCACTAACCGGGTCGTATCACGTATTTCATGAGTATTGTAGCAAAGCAACGGACAAAACGCAAGCAAGCAGAAAGGGTAACAGCATATCCGAGTCGTTCATCTAGCCACCTCTACTCCCCTCCCCAACCCCCCACCCTCCCTCCCGGTCGGCGGTCACCGGTCGTCGAAGATGGCGGGGACGTCCTCCATGCCGAGGAGGTGCACGCCGGCCTCCTCGAGCTCGCCCTCGATCTCGGCCTCGACCTGCCGCGGAGTGAGTCAGAACGGGGGGAAATGAAGCGCAGTCATAACCGAATGAGTAATGGCGCGCACCTGTTTCGCCGGGGTGAGCCCGCCGCCGTAGAGGATCTCGACGCGGTCGTACGTTCCGTGGGCGCCGCGGATGAGCAGGACGGAGTTGCCCCGGGCGAGGGCGGCGGAGCAGGCTGTGAATAGGCGTTAGATTGGGGTAAGCGGGGAAAGAGCGAACGGGAAGGAAGGAAGGGGGAGAAGGCGAGATAAGGACTCGAACGCGCGGACATTAATAGCGGCGGAGGAACTAGCGCAGCCAGCGCACCAGGGAGTGGGAACGTGCGGGAAAAATAGCGCGATAAAAAAACGGGGTACGCACTCGCGCGGAGGGAGAAGTCCGTCTGCAGGCCGACGACGACGAGCTCGGCGTCCTCCTGGACGACGTCGGCGAGGCGGGTCCCCGCGAACGCGTTGTTCTTGCGCTTGTCGACGACGACCTCGCCGGGGAGCGGCGCGAGCGCGAGGTGCCACCCGGGCGCGGCGGGCTCGTCGGGGTCGCCGCGGTCGCCGGCGTTGCGCACGTGCACGATCAGCGGCGGGTGCGTCGCGGCGCGCGCGGTGGCGAGGATGTGCTTCAGGTTCGCGAGCACGGCGGCGGCGGCGGGGATGGGGTTGCCGAGCGGGGGCGGGGAGAGGCCCGCGTGCTGGGCGTCGAGGCAGAGGAGGACGCGGCGGCGGCTCTGGAGGGCGGCCATGGCGATGGTGGTGCTGTCGCTGCTGAGTGAGGAGGAGTCGGAGGAAGAGTCGGGGTAGGAGGCCATGCCCCGCGACGGGGGCGTCCAGGGAATGGGAGAAGAAGACAAGAAGCAGCGAGAAGCGTGATAACAAGGCGCGTGTTGGCGATGGGCCGCAGCGGCAGCCAAAGCCAGCGAGCAGCGAGAACGTGCCTGCTGTCCGGCGTTAGCTCGCGTCATCACACACGCGGCTTCCCGCATGGCGTCATCATCCGCGTGGCGTGCCGGCAATTAGGCGCCAATCGGTGGCGCAGAACCTTGGCGCAAATACCATTCACCATCGTAAGTACTTGAAGTGCCCAGATCAGGACATAATAAGAGAGTTGGCACTCCGCGCTCGCCCTGATCCAAGTCTCAGCATACGCAGACCCCGCAGCACCACCTAAAATACTCTTTCACATTACATCATTGATCCGCAGGATGTACACATGCCAATGGCCATAACACCGCTGTGAGGACAAATGCACATGCGGTAACAACCCCGCACATATCACAAACATGTACCATAAACATACCGCTCAATGCACTGGAAAATGCACCGCCAACGGGACATTTCTCAAGTAAATTTCTTGAAAATTCCTTATAATTGGCAGCTTATGGTTCTCCAGACAAGCTCACTCCTAAAATGGTCAGAAAACATTCTTCTTACCATTCAAAAACAGTTAAAAATACTAGTATAACAATATACAAAGGAAGCATACAAATGCACCAACTATCTACATGCATGTGAAATGTATATCCGATACTAGCATGTGTATGCTAGCCTAACATATTCCCAGCAAGCGGGGTTCAACATTCGAATCACAGATATAGGGTCGGAAAGTTTTTTTCCGACCCTCTGGGGACCCCCCCTCCCCCTCCTGCCATATAGGGTAATATGTTCCTACGATCAGCATCATGTGACCACTGATGTGATCAAAAAGTGGCATAAACAATTTAATCTTTGGGAAACTTTTTTTTTCCAAAAGAATTTATGTATTTGTATATGTATGTGTGTAGGTATCTATGTACGTGGAACCCTCAAACACATATAGCAGGCCATATCACTGTAAAATATGTTCACCTCCCATCACATACCTGATGATGGGCCTGTGACCAGGTGTGCTATCCAAGCTCATCGGCCTGAAAGTATATAGATATAAGTATGGGGGTTGTGAACTATAGACATTAGAGTGTATACACTATATTTTCAGTGTCTTTACACCCATATAAGGCTGAAATCTTTCATATACAAAAAGTTTTTTTTACCTCCCGGGGACCCCCTCCCCCCCTACCCCATGTGCCTGATAAGGATCTTGAACCCCCCTTGATAATCTTGGGCCCTGGTATAGGCTGGTTGAATGTAAATATCATTTCAAGTCCAATTCAAGTCTTATTGTATCACTATACTAGTAACATCCCCCCGCGTTGGATGTGTTTTATTCATCATCCTCGTCGCCCTCGTCGTCTGGGCCGGCAAACGGTATCACCCTTCGACCCTCCGCTCCGGCACGGACCTGATCGTCCGACAAAATGTGTTTATACTTGCCAGGATTCGTCGGATGAGATGTTTCGAACTCGACGCCGCACTCGTCATAGTAATCAAGTCGCTCTTCGGGGAACGGGCCGTAGTCGCCATCGGGGTCGGTGATGTTGTAGGCGATCTCGAGGTGGCGGAAGCGCGTGATGCGCGTCGTGAGGAATGCGTCGATGAGAGCAGGCGCCAGCGGGATAGAGCAGTTAGCGAGACAAAGTGTCTTCAAGTCTGGACAGACGACGCCAGAGCCCAAGCACTGCAACAGGGCGACAAACGTGTGAATAGTGTTGGTTGTTTCCGGTGGGGGTGATGTGGTGGGGTCGTCCTCGTCGTCTGAATTGGGAGGGTCCTCGAGTCGCAATGTCATCGACAGCCACCACAGCTTCGACGTCTTGCGCAGCAGGTCGTCGACGGCCTGTGGAGAGGACTGATCAGCCCAATACAGAGCCAAGCGCTCCAAATTGGGAAGCATGGGCAGCCTTTGCCAGAAGCTTTCATCTATTGTGATGTCCTCCCCGTGCAGCTCGTATGTGATGAGCAGTGTCCGCAGCTCCGGTAAGGGCTCGGCAAGCATAGGCCAAGACGCGCCGGAAACCGCACGCGGCGCTTGCAACCTGAGGTCTTGGAGACGAGTGCAGAGCTTGAGGATTTCAAGCGCATCTACCAGCGTGAGCCCCGCATCGTCCCTATCCTGATTGTGCGTTCTGCCGACATTGAGATGCGTCAGGATGGCCCAATTGATTCCCATGCTCCAAACGTCGTGTCCTTCAAGGTAAAACTCGGGAAAAGAGAGCGACTCCACGGTCTGCAGCAGTCCCTTGTTTTCTTCCAGCGCCGGAAGCTCCCAGTATTCGACCTCCAACGAGCGGAGCATCGGCGTCGGGTGAGCGAATAAGAGATGTCCTGTTGACTCGAGCATATTGTGAAGCTGGAGATGCTGCCAGCGATGCGCTTGGTCCGCGAGAATGCGTATCATTAACTCCAAATGCTCCTCCGTCACGTTTTCGTAGTCGATCCTAGAGCCGGGAGGAAATTCCGCACAGAACGACAGCGCCAGGCCGCATGACCCCGACCGTTGCAGCCATTCGGCCAGCACATGCGTCCGGTCGGTGTACCCCGCAAAATACGAGAAGGAGACATGGAGACTAGCCCACAGCCGGGGCAGCGCCAGCGCAATCGTGCGCCAGGAGGAGCAGACGTGTGTCAGAAGCAGTGGGGCCTCGACCACAACGGCAGCGCAATGTCTTGTCGTCGGAAGGCACGCAACGAAGATTTCTTCCAGAATGTCTTGCGGAAGGCGGCGGGACACAGATATGAAACCTTGATGCGCCTCGATGTAGGTTTCAAGCTCCTCGCGGCGTTGCAAGAGGACAGCCAGCTGTTCGTCGAGGGAAGCCATTTCGAGGATAAGCGGCGCCAGATTGCTTTGAATCTGACGGATTTCAGCGTCGGTGGGCACGTAGCTCGTGTCCAGCTTCGAAGTAAAGAGAGACTCCATGGAAGAGGAAAGAAAGAAGGGTTACGCGTTCATCGGATCAACAATTTGAATGCTTGAATGTCTCATCGCTGCTGCCGTATATCACAACATTTGCCCAATTCACCGGCTGCGTTTCCGATGAACTAACTGGATGAGCCGCGAAGTTGCGGCTACCCCGTTCTCTATTCTCAAGTAAGAACCCATCTAATTCAATCCTTGATCACAATTTTTTACATACAACATCTTCACATATTGTGGGACTCACATATCTTTGCCTTAGATATAAATAGGCAGCGTCGGGTTGAGCCCTTTCCATTCCTTCCCATCAACGAAATCTTTGTCGTCGATTAGGAAATCCTGTAGTTTGGGTCAGTCCACCAAGTCCGGACGTTTTAGAGTAAGATACACTCACCAATGGGGCTTCGACGAGCGCGCCCCGCACCTGCGCAAGCTGCTTCTTCACACGGTCGAGCGGGATTCCGGGGACGACATGGCCAGTCTTAACTTTCGGCACGTAGCTCTGTAATACAATTAGTCTAGAACGCAGAATGGCATAGGAACGAACATCATATGCCTTCCAGTCCCGCACAAGGTTGGTTGGTACTGGACGGAACACCTCCGTGAAGATCTCGCGGTTCTTCTTCGCCGTGTCGTTCCACAAGGTCAACATCTCCACAGAAAGCGGGTCTGCGACGAGGGCATCGTGCTTGAGGTTCATCTCGTCCGGGTTTGGATGAGGCGCAGGACGCATGAAGTCAGTCGGCCGCTGCTCGTTCTTGGTGGCCTGCTGAGGCGGAATGAGGCCCAAATGTTCTATGGTTCCACAAGTTGAGTTGGGTGGGAAAGACAGGCAACGATAGAGTAGCTCACCGCGGAACAACTTGCGCCGAAGCGAGGCAGCGAAACGCGCAACAGGGTACGGCTGACCGTTCATGGTAGCATCAACCATGTCCGCGTCCTCAACCACCAGTGCGATCTCCGAGTCGCCGTCGCCTTTCTGGCTGCGGTCGTTGATATTCGCTGACCCCATCTTTAAGTTGGTCTGTCAGCCAAACCTGTGAGAGGAAAGGGAAAGGAACGCACGATAACACGACGGTCGTCGACAATCATTAACTTGGTGTGGATGTAAAGCAGCTCCGAAACGTAGCTGTTGAAGTAGTCAGCGGATGGCAAGACACAAAACAGGAAAGACATACGCATCGAGCTCCTCTTGCTCCGTCCCCAACCACTTCTCTTCCAACAAGCTCGTGCGATCATGCAACATATGCTGCGCAACATTGTCCGCAACATCATTGTCCCCTCTCACCCGTTTCGCCGCCCGTTCGAACTTCTCGAGAATGTGGTGTGCCTCAGATTCGCTTTCGGGGATCGGAACCGTCTCCGTCTTGGGAGGGGTCTTGGTGTCGGTAACCACAATGCCCTCCTTCGTCGGGACAGGCAAGGTATACGTGACGGTCTTCTGGTCTCCGCCTTCACGCCCAATCCACTTGCGAGCAAGAGCGACGAGGGCTTCGTGGTATTTAACACCACCTTCCGCCTCGATTTTCTGGATATAGGTCGAGAGCGGCGCGTTGATGCGGTCATAGGAGCGAAGATGGTAGAAACGGATATAGTCCATACTATAGCCACATCAGCAAGAATTAAGCGATTGTGAAAGAGACGCACGGCTCATAGCCCGCCTTGCGAATTTCCTCGTAGATACTGTGTCCGCCGCGGTTGATCGTGCGATACTGGGCAGCCATGATGATCTTCAGTGAGCCTTCGTCCTTGAGGTTACCGGAGAACCCTGGGACTTCGGGAATTACGACGATGACTTGGAACTTTTGCCCGGCTTTGGCGGCTCGAATGATGCGCTCGACTAGGGCCCCTGCAATTTGGTTTTTGACTTCGTCCTTGTCGTAGGTAGTGGAGATGCTGTCGAAGTTTAGCAATGAGCGACATTGAGTGAAATGACACACAAGAATTGATTCTCTGGCGAAAATAGTCAGTGCATGCGGAGGTTTCTTGTTGGGCACGAACCAATATAGATGAAATGTTCAGCCTCCTGGATAAGCTGGCGATCTGAGGTTTTGTCAGTAATTCCCAATGAACGACTGTGATTCGCGCACAAGCATTCTGGATACTGCGTTCCGTCAAAACTCCATGGCTCCAGTCGCTCACGCTCCGCACAACTTGCACCTTCATTCCCGGTGCCCGCCTTGGGGCGTAGCGCAAATTCTGTGCCTTCTGCTCGTCGTCAGGCAACCCCATCCAACGCTGTTTATAGCGATGCCCAAGTTGGTGCCATGTTTCGCGCTCTGGATGCTGGGCGACCGCTTCGTTTGGCGCAAAATGCACGTTATGAGGGAGGGCCAGATATACGACGTTTCTATGAACATCTATCAGCGGGGCCCGGATAGAACGAGGTAAGAGTCGTACGCCTGGTCCTGATATTTGCGCTTCTTGATCTCATTCCAACGTTCAGTGAAGTGCTGGACGATATCGAGGACGACGGGGCCAGTCAGCGTCATGTGAACCTGCAGGGCGTGTGGGCAAAGCTTAGAAACAATGGGGGGGATACATACGTCATGCCATGGCATACGCGCTGTCTCCAAGCTTGAAAGCGTATTACTGGCATAGTTGAAGACGTCTTTGAAGTCCATAACTCGTGCGTTATTGTAGTCCTAAACCGCAGTCAACGAAGCTGGAAGGTGGGGAGAAAAGAAGCCCGTGCCTGGCCGGGGAAGAGCGTGAGGGAGAAGTCCGTTGGATGGACATCGGCAAGTGGGTGAGTATGGGTGTCCCAGCGGCCAAAGCACAGGTCAAGTCCGCCGATGCAGGCATAGTGGTTGTCGACAACGACAACTTTCTCGTGGTGGGACCAGAACTCGACGGTGTCTAGAGGTCTCTTGAACGGAACGACATATAGAAGAAAGGTCGATACGCACCTTTGGACCCGATGTGGTCCGGATGGCGGAGACAGACGACGTTGGGGTGGAGGGCATCGAGCGTGCTTTTGGTATGCTTGGAGCTCATCGACATTGTCTGCGTAACTTCTTTGTAAACGATAACATGGACCTTGACGCCTTCCTGGGCTTTGCGCTGAAGAAGTTTGTCGAGTCGCCATTCGGGGTACTGGGCCGGGGGTCGGCGCAAATAGAGCTCAGGAGTGAGCCACCAGTCCTATAAGACCCGCCTGAGCGCTGGAGGGAGCGCAAATGATGTTACGCACCTGGATGAAGATGCACTCCTTCGCGCTGTCAAGCATCTCAGAGACCGCCCACATGTAATCGTGCCCATCAATGTGCCATTTCACTGTGTTCTCCGTCCTTTCAGTCGCGAATGAGTTGAAGCGGTGGGACGCGTTGATTTGAGCCCTAATTTCGTCTCGGCGAATCTCTTCGGGGTCGTCGTGGCGCCCTTGTGAATGTCAGGAGCGCAATGGGGCCAGTAGAGGAAGCAAACGCACGGTTAGGATTGAGAAGGCCTGTGAGGAAAGGGCGGACTCAGGGCCAAGACAAGAGAGCAACGAAGAGACTCACCGACAACCTCGTCTCGTGCATGCCCCAGGCCCTCAGGGACTTTCTCCACCAAATCCGCCAGCTGCTTGATGAAGCTCATGTTCGGGTCGTAGTAGCGTTCGCTGGAGAGTCGGTGGTGGTCGTAGTCGTAGCCGTGAAGTTCGGGGTAAAGGAGGAAGGGAAGGAAGAAGCGAGATAAGTTAGCAACGTCGATTGGCAGGTGAGCGCGAAATCAATCGATGATGCACAGCATCACCGCCCGTGACGTCACCCCTGCCCAGAGTAACGCGGCATGGCAACTTGGCGGGAAACCGTTCAATGAACTGTCCTTCGTATGAATCTCGACCTGAAACTTCTCTGCAAATTGGAGAGCTTCCAGGTTCAGAGCCTCGACGATGCGTACGAACTAGTATGGCAGATTACTTACACATCCGTCGCAACCAAGCGGACAGACATCCCGCGCCGAGATCAAATTCATCTTATGCAAAACAGTTTGCTCGGAAGATGATCTTGCCCGAGATGATGATCCTCAGGATGACTGGATTGACTTAGTTTTTGGAATGTCTGGCTGCTATCAGGTGGATATGTGTCACCTAGCAGCTATAATTGAGACACTTAAGTTCTGATTTTAGCTTCTACTTGACCTTAAGTTGTCATAAGCAAGCTCCAAATAATGTCTTCTCTTAATAGTTGCAAATGGAAGTATAAGGGAGTACTTCCTATTATAGGATGAGAAATTTTAATTGGATCAACTGATAAAATAGATTAAGAACACAGATACAATGTACTAAAATCTTCTCATGTTAAATGAAATTTAACCAGTTCTTATGTGTTTGTATTATTAGATACAAATAGGCAATAGGATCATCCGAAGAAACCAGAATCTTGGTCAATGCTTATTACCATTTGAAAGTTCAAGCAATCATAGTTCTATACTCAATAGAGATGTTGCACCACAGCCATTAAATAGCTCCAATAGCTGAATTTTTTGGCCTGTTCTGGGACCAGATTTTGGGACAGAATAGATTACCTTATTATATAGTCAATCTCAAATTTATGTCAAGAAATAATGTTCATAGATACTGTAAGTGGTAATTTAACGAGCCATTGGAGGGATAAATGGCTCCAATGGCAGTGGTACAACATCTCTAATTAAGTTCTATAATTTCCAAATCAGGAAGCTTTTGATATTGGAAACCTCAAAATATTGAAAATTAGGATTATATGATCATACTTAAGTCCTGTAGAACCAGACCTAAGCGCACTTATGCTTACCTAAGCATGCTCAATGTTGTATTCAGACCTATAGCAGCCATAATTTAGTTTGGACTTAAGTTACGTTGGATCTTGAGTTCAGTAGTTGGTTGAATGTCAAGCCCTGGGTTCAAGAAACCCTTTTCTTCGCCGTTTAAACCTTTTATTTTGGCCCTGGTTGATAAGATAAGACAAGGAGGAGATAAGATGGACGATAAGATGGTGATTGGATAATCAGATGTCGATGCTAATGTTGATTGACAGCGTGGAGTTGGACATGAGGCAAACAGCACATAAAGGCATGGCTAAAGTATGATGTCATTGCCTCTTGTATTAGGCATGGTAAACACATGGTAGTAGTGTATATAAGTAGAGTAGATTTTGTCTTGTACCCCAGTCTTCAAATTCCATCATCTTTACGATATCCTTTTACGGTGCTTCTTGCTTGCCTTCACTGGCCAACTGGCATCCTCTGAATTGGTGTTGTTTGTGACATTGAACCACTGAAGACTCAAGTTAAGGTGGATTTATTTCACATTGAGCTGAGACAAATAGTGTGTCATTATTTCACAAAGGCTCCAGGTGCATAGATAGAAATATAAAAGGGTACCCAAAAGGTGGAATTTTGCAACATCTGATCACATCAGTGCTCACATGCTGCAGTATCCTATCATATCATGGGAATATATTCCCCGGAGGGGGAGGATCCCCAGAGGTATTTTATTGACCTTTGAAGAGAAAGCATTGTCAAAGCAAGCATTCAAGGGTATTTAAGCAGTGTGGTTAACAATGCTTCAGAACAATAGGGTACAGAGTCAATATATGACTATATATCTCTTGTATGGCATGCTGGCCAGATTTATATATTGTTGATTAAATATTGAATATATTCAGAATATTATGAATATTAATATATTATGCCTTTGGTCAATCACCTGAATATGATTATGTCTGAATATATTATGTTATATTATGACTACTGTAGCATTCTGTAGGGGTGAAACAGTTACACTTATATAATCAACTGAAACAGGAAACACCAGCTGAGTTATGTGTTACACAGCAAGAAACACTGAAACAGTGACACTCAAAAGTACCAGTTGAGGTCCTGATATTCTGAAATATTTGGTCCATAAACATATATATCAGTGGTATTTCTACTCAACAACAGGCAAACATGCAAAAGTTTAATGTATTTTCGGGGAATACATAGTCAAAGGTGGAAATTTAGCAAAAATTTGAGAATCCTACCTAAAGAATACTATTTTTTGGTTCATTTTGGACCTGAAACACTTGGTCTATTATGCATTACTTATTTCAGAATATAGAAACGAAACAGTGGGGGAGTTATGCATTATATTTCACCCCTACAGACTCCTACAGTATATTATACTATAGCCACAGAATAGTCAAATATAGCAAGATGGATTATGATTGCCATTTTCCAATTCATAATGCATTGGTCAAGGTGACCAGGTTCCGCCATGGACTTGACCCCTTGATTAACAACTCATGAGGGATACCGGCTGGCTCTAAGGTTGGCGACCATGTTTGGCTGGATGCCTCTGACATTAGGATGACTCACCCCTCGCAGAAGTTCCTCCACTGCTGTCTGGGACCATTCAAGGTGCTCCTGGAGATCAGCTCACAAGATCACTAGATTATATTGGAATATATTCCTATTATATTGAATATCTGAGAGGAAATATGAATATAATATAACATTGCAATAGAGATTATCAGCAGACCAGACCACCTTTTTTTCCACCCATATCGCATCGAGAGTTGATATTGGTCGCCTGGGTCCGAAATCGTGTAAGAAGTAAGCATAGAGCTTTGATGTCAGAGAACACAGCACGGTTCTTTGTCTTGAATGGCTGAGGAACATTGGGCACGTTGACTAAGGTTTGTAAGTCCTCAGCATAGAAGCTAGAAATGCGTGAGAATATATAAGACACTAGATTGCTTGTGAGACGGACCGAAATTGGTACAAGTAGTCCTGGGGTTTCAGCTGCTTTAACTAAGGCAGACTGATGCGTGTTCCTCCGATATCCGGGCGTGCATAGGGAGATACTGTAAGGATCTGTGGAGGTGAAACAATGTTATGACCGTTACGGGTTGAACTTGGAATTGAAACGGAAACGGCAGCGCCGTTTCCCGGTACAGAAGTCAGGTGATTGAAACGGGCTTGTTTGGGCTCAGGGAGAGGTGGCAAGTGAGTAGTAGCTTTGTTTGTAGTCCCATGTGGCACACTAGGTGCTTTGAACTTGCATTCGTATAAAATGCGAGCCTGATTGCCGTGATTACCCGCTAAATGTCATCCGGTGGTGCTGTTGTTGCCTGCATCGCTGCACGTAGCACATGGGTTCCATCAAGTCCTAGTGTTTGGCTGAGCAGTAGATAGCGCGACAGCTTCTGGTGGATCACGGGCATGGTGGATTGGAGGGTACGTGCAATGTTGACCGGTCGTAGTAAGAGAAAAGAGGCCGTTTTAGAAGGACACCGGCCAACCTCGGTCATATTATCATATTATGGCCGGTGACGAAACTGCCATTTTGTGTACAGATTTTGTGAAGTGGAGCTCAAAATTTGCGCATCTTTTACATCGATTGTATATAGAATTTGCAAAAACTCGTTGCTGATAATCTCTAATGCAAAGTTTCTAAATTGTAGTTTTTTTTTTTTTTTTTTTTTTTTTTTTTTTTTTTAGCTGTACCATATGTGAACTCTTGTGCAGTTGATAATTGATCATCCCACAAGGCTCTGGTAAAGGTTGGACATATGAATATCCAAAGCAGTAAGACTTTATCCTACTACTCCACCGGGGGGGATGCATTTACGCACGAATGACACAGTGTGTGAACAAACAGTGTGGGACTCCAAGGCTCTTTGTCCTTAATACCCACTAGAACCCCTCGTTAGGCAGCTTTTTGCTGGGATTGAACCCAGGACCTTTTTGGTTTACCCAAAGGCCAGGACAGGTGGAATGCCACTACATCACGAGTCCCAATTGTAGTCTTTTTTATAGTAATCTTAAATATAACTACACAGGCTTGATACTCAAATATTCACAAGATCAATACTATAGCATTTCATTCAATTCACAGTCACGGTCTTAAAATACTGAAATTTTTTCAGCAGTCATATTCGACAGCCCGGATGCCAAATTCCCTTGACTGATTTACCAGTTTTGGGTGGTGCAGGACCGTGCACTGCCGCAGTGATATGCCGAAATTCTTTCAGTGGTCACACTTGGAGCTGCCAGATGCTAAAAATTTCAGTTCAGCACCGATGTCACACTCATTTTGAGTGCCAAATTAAATAAAATGCTACAGTATAAGTAACAGTTTCTTTTGAAAGTATGCTCCAGACTTGAAGAGATTCAAGTAATCAGCTTCAACTTGACCATTCATAATATTAGGTTTAAACTTCTGTCAGCAAACTATAGGTATCTGTGATCTTGAACAAATACAGCTAGCATGACAAGTATAGTCTTGAACCAGGGGTCAGAAATAAGCACTTTGAGATACCCCCCAGATTTGATTAAACTAAGACTTATATTGACCACAGTCCTTGAATACAAACATCACTCATATCAATACCTTGCAACTCTACATTACTTCTTATCTCATCATGCAACCTTAATTTTTTTTTGCAATAAACAAGATCATGAGTATGCTCCGCAACATGTGTAGTGTTCTGCGTGTGCCCGTAACAAGGATGGGCAGACTGGGTGGAAAAATCCTTCTTGTCCTAACAACAGATGACTTGACAAATTCGCTTTTTGCAGCGTGGCGGTGCGTGAATGTTCGATCAGAATGTAGGCTGGCAGCGTGGGACGCCGGTGAGTCATCGTGCGATTCGTCACCACCTTTCTCGTTTCGCTGTCGTTGTTTTCGCCCCTGACGGACTACCCTGCGTAGTGCCCGACTCTGAGCCACGGGCGACGCGTGTCCTGGTGCCGCTAAAGTCGGCGCTTGCGCGTTGTGCATCCCGCCGCAGCGACATGCTGTCGCGGGCAACACCGCCTTGGGCGCTTCGGCCACAGCATATATATTAAGAGCGTGGGCAGGACACGCCCCACTTCCTTCTTTCTCCACGACTACAACCACATACACCACATGCTCGACGTTTTCACGGCGGTCTTCGTGGCCATCGCCACGCTGATGTACGTCCACATCCTCTTCGTTGGCGCAAAGCTGACAAGAGGCCAGCCCACTGGGACTGATATTCGCGGTGTCGATGCCCTTCATCGGCACACTGGTCCGCTACTGGGGGAACTACACGCCGAAACAGGGTGGTGTTCGGCTCGAGGGCGAAGCAACGCCGCCGCCAGCAGAGAATGACGTTGGTTACTTCGGAATGATGAAGCGCGTACATCGTATTGAAGGCTGGGCTGGGCTTTATAAGGGAATCAGTGCGTCTTTCTGCTATTCATTTCCAACGCAGCCTGACCGTGGGCAGTGCCGTCTCTACTTTCGATGCTCGTGGCTATGGTCGTATTGACCCCCGTCTTCGCGCTCGTCGCTGTGGGGTCCACGATCCTCCCCAATGGACGGATATACGTCCCACCCTCTCGAGCTCATCAGGAACTACTTGTCCCCCGTGCGTTTCCGGAGCCTTGTCCACTCCATCTGAAGCTCACATTTTCAAGTCATCGCTCATGCTCTCTCCGCCATTCCCGTCCTTCTCCTCGTCCCCCTCGAGATTGTGACCAATCGCGCCATTACAACGCCGCACACCCTCTCTTCCTTCGCTCCTGGCCCGGCACTCAAGGCGCTGCTCTCCCCCGCCGAGCAGGCCGCGCCACTGAAACTATACCTCGCCCCAGGCGTCGCACTCTCCGCTGTTCTCCCCGGCCTCGTAATCCCGACGCTCGACATCACGTGGCAGCTAATCGCGCCACGCCTCCCGAACGCGCTACTCGTCCTCGTCGGCCTCCCGCTCGTACTCCTTGGCACGCTGGTGCTGAACCCGCTGCACGTGCTTAATACGAAGCTCACGCTGCAACGCCGGGGCGGGAGCGAGGCGGTCGCGCTGCCCGGCGATGAGGTGCTGCGCTTCCGCGAGGACGCAGATGAGCCGCCGTATGAGGGGTTGGTAGACTGCGCGAGGTGTGTTGTTAGGGAGGAGGGCTGGCGCGTGCTCCTTCGTGCGTGGTGGCTCACGGCGCTTGGATTGGGGCTGCAGTTGGTTTCGCAGACGTTCGTGATTTTGCGGCAGTAGTTGTTCAAGCCTCAAGGAATATTTGTACTGCAACATCCACTCTCAATACACCGTTGAAATGAATTCGAGAAGCATGTATGTAAATACAATCATGATATATTCAAATTGGCTTCGACCACTGGAAATCGCCAACACATCCGCGGCGGTCCTCTGCAGTGATTCTTGCTCTTTGTGTTCGTTTGTCGTTGTCCTCTCCAGCTACCGTAACGTCCTGTGGATCGCCGCTGATCCATCGCACGAACGGCCATGGACGACGCATAGTATATTCTTCGCCTCCAGATCCAAGTTGAAGTTGTTGAACGTGAAAAATATGGTCCTAATCGCTGATGAGTTATGCGCTTTCAATTCACGCGTAGGACGACTAACCGATTGCATGTTATTAAACAGTACATCGCCTTTGGCATCCAGAGCATGTCCCGCATCCACCCTCTGCTATGGCACACTGGCATCATGTTCGTCACTGAAGCCCACCGCAGTTCTCTCACCTGGGGTATCGCGAGACCGAGCAAAGGGAGTGCCGCGCTGCTGGCCGCCAGAAGGGAGACGAGGGAGATGAGCTGCATGGGAGCCTGAGCCAGCCTGGTTACTTAGTGGCAGGGCTCGCAACCCAGCAGCCCACATATGGTGCGGCAGTGGCGTGCCGGTCCGGGCGCCCGACGTCAGCCCCGGAATAGCTCAACAGGAACGTGCGCTATTAATGCATCATAAGCGGTGGATGTGGGTGTGGGAGGCGCAGGGGAAGTATCTAGTGTGAGATGGCTTCACACAGGGCCACTGTAGATAATGGCAGTGTTTGCTCAATTGAAGCTTCAAGTTCAAGTTGGAGCCAAACTTACGGTCCTGTACTTCCGCGGCGTCTTCCAATATTCACCAGCTTACTTTGCTCAGATGAATTCCATGAGTGGTGACCATCATTATATCCAGTTTCATTAAATCAATATTGATCATATTCAAAATATTATGAATATCTGGTGCAATGTGCCTTTGATCAATTATACTGTACTATTTCGTTCAATTCTGCAGGCCTGTGACCTGTGACACATGTGGCAGAAATGTGCAATTCAGCCAAGGGGTGAATTTGGTGTGTCCTCCTGCCTTATATGGAAGTTCTGCGCGCCGTAGGCGCGGAAATTTTTAAAAATTACCATTTTGGGATGGTTTAGGGCCAAAGAAACTCGCTGTGACCCTGGAGGCACCGAGACGGGGCGCAGACCATGGGTGGCGCGGGTGAGGCTACTGGGCGGATGGGGAATGGAGTTGCCGAACGGGTGATAGGGAATGCACCATGTGGAGTGCCCAAAGGCGTCCGTGGGGTTGTTCCGTTGATGAGCTTCGCCCGCACCAAGGCTTCGTATTGGTGGAAAGCCCGAGTGCACCAGCCCAGGTAGTCACAGAGGGCTGGGGGGGTCATTCGAAGATGTAATACCATTGTTGATCTCCATGGTGGTACTTGGTCACCTTAACCAATGTGTTTTCAAATCCGGCAAGGTCCATTAAGTCTTCGAAGTTGTCGGTACATCCGTGGATGTCCCGCGTTCCCATGTGATAACCGGTGCTCTCCACCTTAGCAAGTGCAAGGTCTTGCTCATTTTCCTCAACAAACCGAAGGCAGAACTCGGAGAGGAATAGGTTCCACCGAGGGAAGGGAAAGGGGGGTTTTGCTCCCATGACACTCCGCCCATTGCTGAGCAGGTCGCTCTGCCATATAGGACATGCTTGAAATGAGACATTATCTGGTGGGCCAACATTGATTTTGAGCCTCACTTTGCACCAAACTCTATGGCCCTTGCTGTTTCACAACAGGTGCTTTTGCAAAGAGTTTAAAACAGTATTTCAAAATTGGTTTGAACCAGGGATTTAATCCTGTAGTCTAATACCAAGGCTCTAGTATGCTTGCCTACAAGGGGGTTCATCATTCGAATCACAGATATAGCGTCAGAAAGTTTTTTTTCCAACCCTCTGGGCCTCCCCTCCTGCCATATAGGGTAATATATTCCCACAATTAGCATCATGTGACCACTTCTACAATCAAAACTGGCAATAAAAAATTCAATCTTTATCAAACTTTTTTTCACTAAAAAATTGTGCAATACACTGAATACCAGGAATAAGTTGTGCTGTATGATATAATCACTTCTCTGAACTTGGTATTGAAATTTTCAAATACTTAGCTATAGGAAGGGAAGCATGATGGTATCAATCACTGGGCCGTTTCCAGAATTTTTCCCTGTGAAAAGTTAGATAAAAAATTTGAAATTTTTGAATAAATTTTTTCCAAGTCAAAATTTGAACTTTTTTTGCTAACTTTTGGCTGAAAAATGTCAGAACAAAAACTTGAAGTTTTTTACCCAATTATTACTAAGAAAAATGTCTGACTATATACAGAGAAAAAACTAGGACAAAAATTTCGAGTTTTTGTAGCTAGTTTTTGCCAAGAAAAAATTAGAAAAAAAAATTCTAGGTTTTTTTCAAGATTTTTGCTCGGGAAAGGTTTCAAATTTTTGCTCAGGAAAAATTGTTGCACAAATGATCAGTTTTTTCCTGAATTTTTTACATACAAAAACTAAGTTTTTCCCCGGAAAAAACCAAGAGAAAAATTCGAAGTTTTTCTTCTCATTTTTTCTAAGCAAAAACTCAATCAAAAACTTGAAGTTTTTTCTTAGATTTTTTTCCAGATGTAAAAATTAGTCTGCCGATGATCGTCCGATGAGCGGCAGGTGAGCGGCAGGTGAGCGGCAGATGATCGGCAGATGAGCGCCGGCGATCCTGCCTGATCATGTGGATAATGATTTACCTTCTCCTCGTCCAACTCGTCCAACTTCACCCTTTAAATTTCATGCAGATGTTGTTATATATTACTTGGCATTTCCAATACGTAGACTAGATACATCAATTAATTCCAAAAGACTGCAGCGAACTCGTCAAACTCGTCGTCCATGTTCAGTGCCTTGACAACAGAAGGTAGCTGTTCAGCCAACCATGCAGAATTATAAAAAGAGGCCGGAAGCCCACGAGGAGGGGGAGGAAAACCAGGATCCGAGACTCGCTGTCGTTCGTCTTCTTCTTCTTCTTGCGATTACCTTTCGCAAACACCAGGGCTTGGTCATCAACAAGGAGCAGGCACTCAGTAAGCTTCTCCGCTCGCCAAATGGTGTTCCTTGTTGTGAAACCCTGAGAGCGATGGCCACTTTCATCGACATCTGACTGGCCTTCATCTGAAGACATTCCATCCTTTTTGAGACGCCTGAGTGCGCGCAACATCTTTTGCCAGAACCGGACAGATGGGTCATTGCTTTTGTCAACTGCTCGATGACCTGGTTGATCGTCTCCTCACGCCATTTGAATTTCTATTTCAATAGTCAGCACACTGTTAACCGATACAGTAAAGTATCACTCACTCGAGCCTTGCCCGAATTGACACGGGAAGCAGCGAGGCGATCTTCCTGTGCTCCTATAGAACGATCTTGCGCTTCATTCTCCGTTTCCATGCGCCCTTCTGTTTTGTTCAAACGGGCATGCGTCTCAGACGACTTGCTTCGATACCCCTTGAGCTTGATGAGTATCTGATCTGCCATGAACTCGCGGTTGTTCCCCAACGCCTCTACGCCACGACCAATCAACCCTGACCCACTAACATCCGCAGTCAAAGCAGCATCAACGATCCACCCGATGATGGTACCATTCCATCGAGAATGAGCCCAATTAGGACCATAATCCCATCGTGGTGGATTGGTTGGACCTGGTCCTACATGATTTTCGTAGTCGATAACCTTCTTTGGGTCTGCCGGTTGATGAACGGCAAAAGATTTGCCGTCCATGACCTGGAATATATCGTAGAGTGCATCGCGCAAGAGATGCTGCAACACATTAGTAGCTATAAGTAGGCACAAGACAGAAGCCACGTACGTTGACATAGATCTTGGGGACGTGTGGTAACATACCCTGGGGTTTACCGCCCGGTTTCTTCCTTCGAGGGGTTGCTTGTTTAGGGGACGCAGCTTGAGGGGGTGGAACACCAGTGAACACCGTCTCCATGGCTTTGGTTAACTGTTTGATATCAACCTCGCACTCAAATGCGATTGCGAAGGTTAGCGCAGTAGTCTTGGCGAGCTTGCATGCAGGAGTTTCCCCTTCATCCTCGCTTGGCTCGGGACTGGAATTCAAGTCGTTGTTGCTGGGCACAAATGCAAGCTTCACGAAAGGGGTGGTGGGGTTCTTGAAATGTTGGAGACTCTCACGAGTTCCACGACGGAAGCCAGGTTTCCGAGTTGCGTTAGCTTGCGCCGTTTGAGCACGGAGCTTGATGAGTTCAGTTTCTCTCTCCATCTGGAACTGGGTTAAAGAGAGAGAACAAAAACCACTTATCACTCACCTGTGCATCCTCTCGCTCTTTTTTTCTGCTTTCTTTCTCGGCAGCTTGCTCTTCTTCTCTACTCTTCTTCGCTGCTGCTTGGTTTTCCTCTATAATTTTCGCTTCAGCGGTCAGTTTCGCTGTGAGCTCATGCATCTCCTGCTCATGTCGCTCGAACTACAACTGGTTAGAAATTACATAGGGTGAGAATGACGAACACTTACAGTTTCCTCCCATTGGGCTTCCTGCACTTCGTGCTGCCCCTTAAGAGTCCCAAATGCCTCAAGCATTTCTAGCAGATGAGCATTTTGTGTAGCGTTGACACCCTGAAGGCGGGAGACCTCGCCGGCTAATACCTCGGCCTTGGCACGATACTCCGCAGCCTGTTGTCGAAGTATGGACCAGTGGGTTTGTATGTACTCGCTATGCTTGAGGCCCGCATTTAGTTCCTGTAGACATTGAGCTGAGCGAGCTTGAATAGCAACGAGAAAGCAACCTTGGAACGGGGAACGTTGGCCAGAGCCTTTGGCGTCTCCGACTCTTTGATCCGACTTCTTTTCGCGCTTCGAACGCCACCAACTGGAGGATCCAAGCCGTTGTCCAACTGGACAAGCTGTTCGGCCAATGGATTAGGGTTCTGCGGCGCATT